TTTCTCTTATAAAAAAAAGAGACTGAGATTTTTGAAAAAGCTTAAAGAAGGGGTGGCAAATTATGGACTGACCATCCCAAACAAGATCGGCCTAATTTTATTAGCCCCATAATCAGCATTGACCTTGATTGTTTTCCACAAACTTATTTTGCACTTTATCACAACTCAATTTTTTGACCCCTGGGTTTCCCCTCGGGGTTCGAAAAAAGTTTTTTTCCGTCGTTTCATGGGAAGTCCATTTAGTTCGATAGCGCTATGTGTGCTGATTACAAATATCATATTATTTTGTAAAAGTGCTCGGGTAATAAGAAAGATCTAAAGTACTTTTTGGAAGCCGTAAAAGTCAGTTTTAAATTTGAAAGTCTATCAAAGTTCAAACAAAGCTAGTCAAAAATAAGCTCATTAGATAGAGAATTTCATTCTTTATCAAAATCTATAAGAACATATTAGACATTGAAATTTTTTTCTATCGGTAAATGCCAAACACCGCCCCAATTGGGTCATTTGGTACAAATAACGATTTTTCGACTCTTTCGAAGTCAGGAATGTGCCGAAAGGAAAAAAGTGGGGGGGGGGGGGGGGTGGGGGTTCTAGTAAATAGAAGTTAATGTCGTCTTCATTTACAAGAAACAACTGTTTACATTTCCCAGTTTTTCGTTGAAAGTGATGACTGGGGGGGGGGGGGGGGAGGAGACGGAGGTGAGCAAGCGTTGGCGCTGCGAAGATTCCGTACTCTCCCTCAGGTAACTAGGATTTTTCCATTACTTTTCAATAATGGGGGGCCGGACCCCCTGTTCCCCCTATCGACACATCCCTGTTTGGTGCCTGTGCACCCAGTTATGTACTCTTAATGTGTGAACCCAAGTTGGATGATCGTGGATAAAATAATATTGTCTTATTGATCGATAATATGTATAAAATGCCGATTGTAGGTACTGTACCAACGTGTTGGTATTAGTCCGATCCCGAATAAACACTTATTCAATAACGTACGACCACGTTCTTCTCGTTCGATAACATTATTTGTTTCACAAAATAAGTGTAAAATATTACGAACAGTTCGACTGGCACAATTAATAACAGAAGCTATTTGGTTGGTAGTCATACCTTGATCTAAACTTAGCGAGATAATTCGCCATCGATCGCCAATAGATAAATGACCACTCATTACTGATGAATCTGTCACGTCTTCAGGCCAAGTTCGATGTCGACCACAAACGATGATTTAGAAGAGCTAGTTTATTCACATGCGAAAACTAAAGATCTAACTGTTCGAGTGAATACTGAGTAATTGACTGAGAAAGTGGAAAAATAGCAATACAAGAGACATAGAGTGACAACCACTAGTATATATAGTATTGAAAATGGAACATTCCAGAACATAAGATAGAGATATAGAGAACTCTAGAAGGTTTCAGAATGTACACGAAACACTAGACAATGGGCAGTAACGTGGACAGACACGTGACAGCTTAATCACCATAGTAAAAAATAATTTTTTCAAAAATTTTATCATCAAAGAGTATGTCTATATGAGACATAGAATGATAGGGAATATCATGCACTATCAATGGTATAATTTCTTTTATATAATTGATTTCTTTGGGATAATAATTAAAAAAAAACAGCGAAAAATGTAGATTGTTGGTACTTGTCGATTGAGGATGTTTTCATTGTACTCAAATTTTCTTTTCAATAAATGAATATAAGTAAATAAGTAAATATACAGAATGATAGAGAATTTTAAGCTCTATCAGAATATATAATTACTTTTTTAAAAAGATACTGCTCTAATGATAAAAAAGTTTAAAACTAATTTTCATGATAGTAACAAAATTTTGTTTTCGGAAATCTGGACATGAGGGTGTCTTCATTGTACTTCATTTATTTTTCTAATGACCAAGTACAAACTACAACATAAATATACACGATTATAGAAAACTTCATGGGCTTCTAGAATATGTAATTGGTTTTTAAAAAATATGCTATTATAGTGACAATATATGTGAAATACGGGCGGAAACAATTTTTTTCCGGAGTGTATATTTATCTGCTCAAAAAGATCATCCATTACTTGAGTCAGTATGCATAAAAATTTTCCTTTAAAACAAGTAGAGATGAGATAAAATATATTATATTGTTACAAAACAACTCAATCAACACTATTGATAGTGAATTACGTCAATGAGCTATCTTTACTTAATTGTTCTTATTGTTATATAATATTGAGACATCAGATAATACTATCATATGCCATAAATATGCAACTGAATAAACAAAGAAAAATCTAAGAGAAATATAGAAGAAATCATTCATGCCTTTGACATTTATAATTGCTGTTCTTGTTCACGGATCAATTTCAAGCAACGTTCACATAACAATCCATCTGGTTCAGTGATAATGCGTGTAAGATTCTTTAACTTGTAATTGCAATTCTTGCATGTAAAACTAAATGAGAGAAAAATCTTGATAGTACTCACAAAATAAATGAATTTATACCATTCATCATGATACCATCGATTATTGAATATAATCATTAAATCATCCGAAGGCTTAAAACAAATCTACTAAGCTATCATCTTATTGAATCATCAACGAGAAAAACACGTAGAGCTTACAGTACATATAGTCGCTGATGATTCATGGCATGTTTTACACTGAAACACAAGGGATTGAAAATCTTCATCATGAGTATTTGGTGAATAGTACATAGTATTAGATAAATTTTGATGACAAATTCCACAAACAAAACAAGAATTATGTATGTAGTGAATATTATTTGAAATTTTATCTGTTGGTAAGTCGATCTAAAAATAAAGAAGAAGTCATTTTTAATAATTATATGTATAATAAGATACATACTTGATGTTTAGTAATAAGATCACCTGGTTGAAATTGTTTTCTACATATAGAACACCGTAATGTTGAAACAATTGACGAAGCTGGATGAAAATCATTTTGAACATTTTTATAACAATTTGAACAATAAATATGATTTTCATAAGGAAAAACTAATGCACCTTTAAATGCTTTTTGACAATGATCACAACAGAAACAGTTTGGATGAAAAATACGTTCACCATATGTTAATGAAATATCATCAATTATTTTTAAACATTGAAAACAAACTGGTGCTAAACGATAATAACATGAATCACAATAAAGATTTTTCTTTTCATCGTCACGTAGATCTTTGTAACGATAATAGAACATGCCAGCAAGTGACTTATTACAACTCGAACAATTATAACAATGAATATGTACTGTGTTCTCACCATCATACAAATATTTTTCGTCAGGTGATATCACTTCATTACATTTTTTACATCTATTTGATGAAAACAAAAATACATTGGGTCAAAATGAGAATGTATGTGTAAGAAATATTCACTTGATAACAGTGGTCTTTGAATGATTGGCGGACATTTATGTTAGTTACACTAGCAATAAAATGAAACACTAATTAGAATTAAACGAATAATCGAAAACAAAGTTGCCAATAAAAGAAACAATGTTCTTTGAGCCTATAAATCACAGTGTTTAACGAGCTAGTAAGAACATACAAGCATGTGTAAAGAATGATGAAACCTTAAATACATTACTCTCGACTAACTCGAGTGACATATTATGAAAAATGAATATATATTAGAAAATGCATTCGTAAAGATATCGTTTCATATATCGCTTATCTTTTGTTTCTAGTTTTTCCTGGATATTTAACACTGTTTTCATAAACTCGTTTAAATATTTATTTAATCAAACTGTTCGATTTGACAAGAACAAAAAGTTATATGGAGTTAAGAAAAGCTAATCTCTACAAAACGTAAGAGAAAAACAATGAAAATCAAGAGACTTCTTCTAATTTTATCTTATTCCTGGACTGAAGTTTCTTCTATTACGCCCTTTGCAAAACGCGTACTCTTTCAGAATTTATTTAAGTCAAATGGCAATTCATAATATATAACACATAGTCAGAAATGTCTTGAATAATGCAATTTGTTGCTATATATTTTTTTAATAACTATAGTTTTTTTTTTGCGATAATTTTATAATTCTATTATGCTGCAAATATTATCACTGATCATTCATGCTTCATTTCTTCTTTGCTATTTTCAATGTCACTCAAAACAAGCAAACTCAATTGTATTAATGCCAAAATCTCTCATCTCGTGCAGTGCTAACAATAATCATAAGAATCTATTAATATGTAAGAATCTAACTATAGTTTATCTATTATCTATTTACTATTCTTATGTCAAGTTCTGTATCATATTATGTATTCATATTCATGTTTGAAGTAACATTATTGTTTATTTTAGATTAATCACTGAAAAAAAAAGAAGATTGACATACAATACTGCACTTATAGTATATAAACATGAATACTATTATTGTGAAATCTACAAACTAACATTAATTTCATTAAGTATATAAAATTTCTCATGAAGGATTTTTTATCTTAAGACCTTTCAATCATCGTAAGCACTATCAATCATACCATTCTTCTCTAATCAAGTTCAACTGTTCTAATCTTTATCACCATTGATAGATATCTTCAAACATAAGGAAGATGATTCATTGAATACAATTTATATGCATATTTCAGTCGAGATTGATTGCTTAGATCTGTGAAAACTTGATGGCAATATTTATCGTTAAAGAACAAAGAAAAAAAAAACAAAAAAAATTTTCTTACGTGTATGTGTGCACAAAATATTTATATAACAAAAAAAAAAGAAAAAAAACAAACAAACAATAGTTAATCAAAAGAATACACAAAAAAGAAAAAAAAAATACTCGTCTTCAAAAAAGTTTCGATTCCCTAACAAATTAAGAAATTTTCTAATTCTAAATATTGATCGCCATCTATATATAAATACTTAGATGAGATTCATAAATGTAACAATAAAATTTCAAAGAAAAAGAAAAGAATATTCGTTTTTTTTTCCAAATATGAAAATACGATAAGTTTTATACAGAAGAAAGAAAAGAGAATATTTCTATAAATGAGATGAATATTTTCCTTGATCATCATTCTGATATTCATTAGTAAAACCATCAGTTTCATCATATTTGACTAAATGAGTATGTCGCTTATCATCCCGTCCATATTGTCCAATAAACGATCCATCTTCGGTAAAACGACTTCTATCTTTTTCATCATTAAATTCTGCCATTGAATCACGATCATCACCGTTATGCAATGACATACGACTTTGTTTTATTGATGCATCACTAGGTCTACAAAGAAGAAGAAAATTCAAAAGAAAACTTTAGTCCGATTTCCTTGTCAAATTTCATCTAACATACGCTCGATAATATTCTGAAAATTTTCCATCATTATCTCCATATCCACTCGGACCATGTAACATTTCTTTATCTTGAACTATAAAAAAGAATAAGTATAATCATTCATTTAATTAAATAACTACTTATTTCCTGATGAGAAGAAAAAAGGAAACATTATCATTATCAATGTCAATGACAAGAACAACAACACAAGCATCGACATCCTCCAAATCTAGATAGCATGCGAGTCTCATCGCGCGTATTTCTCATCAGTTAATGCATATAATCAGTCGAGATGGAATACGAAGAAGGCAAACAGAATAAGAAAGAACAAAAAGCAGTTCTGTTTCTGAAAAAAACAATAGATTTCTGATTTTTTTACTTCTTTGGACAGAATTATATAGGGTCGATTTGCCACCTACACCAGCTACAAGAGACAGAAAAATGAGAAAAAAAAAATATATATATATATTAAAATGCACACTCATATTTTGATTTATTTCTAATAGAACTCATGCAATGAAAAGGATAAGAAAAAGTAATGTGTACCTGTGTATGTTCCTTATATTTAATTATTTTTTTTGTAATTATAAATTAAGACACGATTAACTTCAAAAACAAAACGAGTAAAAAAGAAATATCTACCTGAATATTTACCACCTTTACGTCTCATAATACCACAAACAATAGCAAAGACTATGATAAGTACAATTATAGCAACAATAAGACCAATGAACCAAGGTGAGCTAATAACTCGAGGAGTGCGATCTAAATAAAAGAATATACTGATTAATATTGAACTATTCATCATTTTCATTATATAGAATATTAATTAGTATTATATTTTTTCTTACAACGATATTAGAAATTATTTTTAGTTGATTGATTTGTTTATATAAATCATTAGTTATAGATTAGCGTGAATAAGTCTTTTCTTTTTCGTATGATTTTAAGATCAAAGATTGGTACTCACCAAAACATTCAATCAATGTACAATTTGAATCAAATGTATCGTTAGAATAAAACGGTGTCGATGAGGATCCATTTTCGATCCCGTTTGTGGAATATTGCAATGATAGACCACTCATTTGTCATCCATCACACGTATATGCGCATGTATAAAACTCCGAGCAAATACGATCCATTGATTATTTAACACTTATCGGATCACAAATAACAATGTTGTTGACTGGTCGGCTATAGTTATGCTTATGTGTGTTGCAGTTCTTTCTTTCTTTTTTTCTTTCTCTCTTCGTTCCCCAATTCTTCTTTTATCTCATATAGAGAAATCTAGTATAGTATGAGTATTGTACAAGCTTTTGCTTTATTTTTCCTTTTTTTTCTTTGCATCGATGCGATAACCCTTGACGGAAACATTATCATGTAATTTTTTCTTCTCGTTTCTTTCTTCTCTCTATATATATTTTTTTGCTTCTATCCTTCTTGCTTTGATTATTCTTTCCAGTTGTCTATCTCGCTCTTTCTCTATCAACTATCTACATCGGTCACAGTCAAGAGGCAATAATGATGATGATTTCCTGTGTCACTCTCTATTACATCTGATACTATCATATTTATTATTCAGTTCGAAAAGTCTCAAGAGATATTTTTCTCAAGTTGAAAAAGATATAAAAAGACTCGTATAGCATCAAAATATACCCTTGCTAAGTGTTGCCACCATTTGAGGATCACTTTTGGTTTCAGCTAGAATACCATCACCAGCAACTAATATTGTTGTATATATTTTATCCGGTTCAAGTGCATTTACAAGTATAGTACGATCATTTGACACAGTATAAGACTTTTTAAAAACAGCTTGATCATCTAAACAAAAAAAAAAGAAAAAAAAAATTGATTTTTTTTTTTGATTTTTTACTAAAAATCTAAATTTGAATATAAACCTTTATCATTTTCTTTATATTGTACATAATATAGACTACCAGGAATAGTCATTATTGTTGGATCAAAAGAAACATTAAAAAATGTTTGTCCTCGATGAGTTACTGTAAATGTTGGTTTCGATGGAGCTAAAATAGAAAAATAAATGATTCTTCGAAATTTAAGTCAATTTTTTATTGTTTACCAAGACTTAAATTTGTTGTCAGTTCAATAATAGCTGGACTTGTTGATAAACCAACTGATGTTCGTGCTCGTACTTGAACACGATATTTTGTGTCTGGTTTAAGACCACTAAGAAGATAATTTCGACGAGTATCATCACGAAGTAATATTGAAGGATGTTCGATACCGGGTTGAGAAGCAATACTTAAGAAAGAAAATATAACATATGTCATATATTTATCACACACATATATACCTTTCAATAGGTTTATAATCAATTTGATAACCAATTATAACGCCATTTGTTTCATCTGGTGGATCCCAAAGCAAAAAAATTCCATTGCTAGTATAGGGTACACCGCGTAAATTAGTTATTGGTCCTGGACGACCTTCTCGTGTAGGAAATTGAATCTAAATAAAAATGATTGAATGTCTCTTTTTCCTTTTTGTTTTTGAATGTGATGCATACAACAGGACTTGTTGGTCCAAAATATCGTTCTGTTTCAATACAGATGTGAGCACCAACATCAGCATTAGGTGGTGCATTAAAAACTGTTGTCCAAGTTTTGTTTGGTAATATATCAGATATCACAAGACGTGATTTTGCTGGGTCATCAAGTCGAAATATTTCAATCTATTTATATCAACATATATTCTATAAAATATAAAATCACAATTTGATATAAAACCTGATAAGCTTTAAGAACGCCACGAATGTTAATTTCATCAGAAGGTAATGGTGGATCCCATGCGAATTGTACTGTTGTACTATCAAGCATTTGTAATACGCGAAAATTACGTGGAACATATGTGGGTGCTATAATAAATAGAAATATTAATTAAACGAAACTATAATGAGATAAATTGTTTATCTGATGTTCTGTTTTTTTTTTTATTTGTTAATTATTAGATAAAAAAGAATTTACTATTTCATGAGATGTTTTATGCTAATATTTTTTTTTATTATCTAGAAAAAGATACAAAAAATTTGTTTTTTAATAATTACCTGAATCACCGGCAAAAGCGATGTTGTATACCGGAGGCTGAATAGCATCAGTACTGTTGGTTTCTAGTTGAAAATCAAAACGTTTAGTGGAAATATCAATATAAGAGATCTAATTCGGATTGCAATACAAAATAGACAAAATCAAATATTAAGCAATCCGACAAACCGAAGAAGAGTTTAAAACTTTTTTTGAAAAAAAAATATATTTAAAATAATACACTAGTTCATTTCATGAGAAATAAAGGTTGGTTTTTCTCTACTAATTTTTCTATAGTATCCTATTCACATAACTTTTCCTTGGTAATAGAAAGAAAATGATTGGTTGGACAAAGTAATTCTTTAATGTGAAAGAAAATTTCTCATTTTAAATTGTCTCTTTAAAATAAACATTTACCTTCTGGTTGTCGATTGACTGCTTTAACATAATATTGATATCGCATATTCATTACTGGATTTGGTATAGGAAATTGATGTTGTGGTGGATAAATAAGTTGCGTTGAAAATGGTTGTGAATCAGTGCCTGAAGCAAATTGACGCCAACCAACTTCATACCAAAACATTGGTGCACCCCATTTTATTGCAGGCATACTCTATGATTTTAAATAAAAATTTGAAGAAAAAAAAAGACTAAAATATGAATTTGTTCTTACATCCCATTCGATTAATAATGGTATAGATTGTGTAGTTGAAGCTTTAACACCAATAGGATTCATCTTAGGTCGACATGTTTTTGTGGTACACATTGATTCAGAAATAGAACTTGAATCACTTGCACCAACACGATTATAAGCAATAACGCGAAATGTATAATTAGCCCAACATGATAATGATACACGTAAAGCATTTTGATTTGATGGAATATGGGTTGTATTAAAAACTATAGAAAAAAAAAATAGTTAATACTTTTTTTTGTTTAAATATATTATTTATTTATTACTTGTAGTTTTAGGTTCTAATTTAATAGAACCATCTGGTGATTGAACTTCATTAAAAGATTCTTTTCGTTGTTCAATTGGTACAGATGTCCAATCATTTGTTTGAAATGATGTATTATATTGTAATTCATAATAGAGTATTCGTGCATTATTATCACCTGAATAAAAAACAGAATCTCGTTTTTTTTTGTCTTGAAATTTTTTAGGATAAAATTCTTTTTTAACCTGTTCCTTGCCATTGAACAATGGCAAATGGTGAATCAGTTGATCCGTTACAAATAACTTTAGTTATTTTTGGTCTATTTGGTCGATCTTGTACAACTAATGTTGCGCTTGCATCATCAAAATCTAATTCTGTACTTGCACGACATATATATGAACCAGCATCATCGAATTGTACATCAACAATTTTTAATGTATTTTGATCTGTTATGTCTTTAATAAAACGGCCTGTATAAGTCAATAAGTTACCATCTTTATACCAATTAATATCATAGGTTAATGATGTATCAGCAACAGCTGTACAACGAAATATAGCTTGATGACCTCGACGTACTTGTTGATTACTTGGTTGAGTTTGAATACGTGTTTTTTGTTTAACACTTAATGTTGTATTGCGTATATCGGAACCAAATTTGTTTGTTGCATTACATACATAAACTCCACTATCTAATAGTGATACATCTTGAATTGTTAAACTTCCATCTTTTGATGTGGAATATCTATGATGTCGAAAATTCAATTCAATTAAATAAATCATAAATAAAAGATTTTAAAGCTTTGTTTAGCATAGAAATTTAAAGTGCTGTTAGAAGAATATAAGCGTTTGTTTTTTTTGTTCATACCGATAGAAATGCTAGATGACATAACACACATACTTATATGCGGATATTAATATATAATATGAATTGATTAAAACAAAAGATAGAAAAATGTCAATTAATTACATACCTTGCACCCGCAATAATTTGATTACGTTTATACCAATAGACCTTAGGCGATGGTATACCACTTGTTTCACATGGTAAAATAATGTTTTGTCCTTCGACAACACGATAAAGTGCATCCGGTTCACGTTGAATTTTTGGCTTTTCCGCTAATAGAACAATAATATCAATATAAATAATCTAATGAAATGAATTTTCAAAAAAAAACTTACAAATAACATTAATAAAAAAATTTGCAAAAACATAACCGTGTATATTAGAAACATTACATTGATAAACAGCTGTGTCAGATTTTGTTACATTTTGTATAACTATGCGATTTTTCATAACGAGTCGGCGTGGATTGTATGGAACGTTGATATCTTGTAATGGTACACCATTAATTAACCATTGAGTAGCTTTTGATACTGGCTTAGCTTCTGCATTACAAGTAACATCAACTGTCTCCCCTTCTGTTACATACACGTCTTTTGGCTTTTCTATCCAATATGGATGAGCTTCAACTTTAACATTAATACTAAATGCATCATAGCCCAATTCTTAAATATTCAATTAAAATCAATAACATATTAATGACAAAAAAATTCTTTTTACCATTATGTCCTCGACATTCATATACGCCTGTATCTTCATATTGAAGATCATTTATAACTAATTCTTGTTTCTCTAGAATAATAGAAGAGCGTCTTTCAGGTATCCGACCATTTATTTTCCTCCATATGACATCAGGTGTTGGTAAACCCTCAAATATACATTTTAATGATAATTTTTGTCCTTTTAAAAAAACTTTATATGTTTCTGATGACCATAATTTCATTGGTTTGCGATCAATCGGATCTGATCGAATAACTTGTAATTTTGTTAATGTACCACGACGAATAATATTCAATTTACGAGAAAATACATTACATATAAATTGTTTTTGTTCGTCTTCATCTTTTACATTAAGAAAATAAAGATTTCCTAAAAAAACAAAAATAGAAACGATAATCGGAAAAATTTTTGTTTAAATTATCACGAACAAACCATCATAATCTTGTTGTATGCGCGGGTTTGCAACACGAAAACCAAATCGATCACCAATATTTGCATTATCTGTCCAATAAATTTCCGGATCGGGTACACCAGTTGGTGGATTACATGGAATTCTTAATGAATCACCACGTCTTACTTGAATTATTTGAGCTCTTTCATAAATAGGAAACACACCAAGTTCTGCGAGACGTACACGAACTCGACGTGACACTGCAGTACCTAAAAATTAGAAAAAACATTTTTAGATGAACTTTTCGATGTCTAGTTTTATTTTCTTTTTACCCCAAATATTTGTTGCATTACATTGATACCATCCTTGATCGATAATTGTTGGTTGAGTAAAAGTAAGTGTACCGGAATCATTTGCCATAAAAACATGATTATTTTGTGCGTTTATTGCATAAAATTGTCCATTTTTAGTCCATGTATAAATTGGAGTTGGATCACCTTTTGCTAGACAAATCAATTCGAGATTAATACGTGGATCAGAAATTATATCCGAATCAGGTTCTTCTAATATTGCCGGTGGCATTGGAACTAGTTAAGAGAAAGTTGTATATTTTTATACGCAAAAAGATACCAAAAAAAAAAAGTAATCATAGATTTACTTGAATGTACAATAGAGAATAAAAAGAAACTATATACAAAATTTGACAAGGCCATTGAATATTGTTTTCTAAATATTTAAATTAATGATTTCACAGAAACATCTGAAATTTTAAAAATATCTATCATATATGAATGATGAATATTTATTGTAAAACAAGTTCAGGAAAGTGAAGAGATCGGTAACTTCATGTTGCTTACCATAAATGTGTTCTTTTTTTTTCTTTTTTCCCACACGCGTTCTGCGTCCTTCGTACTATTTTAGAGAAATCAGCAACTGATCGACTGTTCGATTGGCTCATTTTGTCAAGGTGATATTGTGCACGGAAAAAAACAAAGATACTTCTTTTCTAGTTAATCAACGTTTCTATCTTTTATATTCTTTGTATTATTTTAAATGAGTTTTCTCGTAGTAAAATCAATATTTAATCGATGGTATCGACTTGTCAAATTTACTCTGTGGAAGTATCTAAGTCAATTACTATTTTGTTTCTTTAAGCATTGATTGCCTAACAACTATTGCTATTCTTCATCACTACTATTAAGAATGAAGCAATTGATAGTAGGAAAAAATAGAACATTTGTGTAAGTATTGACAGAAAAAAAAAAGAAAGAATGCTCATCTCAAGAGATTTATATGGCTCCTTTCTTTCTTTCTTTCTTACACACGCATATACAAACACACGATCGATGAAAGATAGTCGTAGGCAATGAAGAAAAGTCGTGCCGCAGATCCATAGCTCTTGCTTGTTTGGCTAATAAAAGATGTCAACGAGCAACAGAACGAGAAAGAGACAAGTAGCGAAAAAAAAGTGACAGAAAAAAACAACAACAACTAAACCCATCCGTCCTATATAAACAATGAAAGTAATTTAGCAAAGAAACATAAGCTTCAGTCGAATGATTTTATCAAAATAATTGAAGAAGACATCGATGTGTTTAATTAATTTAAATACTTATTTTAACCAATTAACTCTTATTCTTCATATTGACTTTGATGTTTCATAAATACTGAGAATCAAATGCCTATTCATCAAATTACAGGGACAAATACTAAACAATCTATTCTATTAGATATAACAGTAGTCTAATGGCTTATTTTTCTCTATCGTATATGTTAGCGCTTGCTTATAAAAAAGAAAACAGTATTATTTCTTGATCAAAAGTATCGAACGAGTACTAGATGAGTATTTCTCGTCTCTTCGACCACAAAAAAGAATGTGACACAAAATCTTGATTGGTTCCCAACTTATCTGTTGATGATTTCTAGGTGGAAACGATGTCGCTCTGATATGCCTATGATTTTATCAAATAAATATAAACATCAATAATTAATAAATGTTTAGTAATAATAACAAATAAGCTTACTGTACTATAAATACGTGCATTTTCAACAAAACATCTATTTCTGTCAATACCCTAAAGAATGACTCCTACAACCGACATTGACATACTTAATCAATGGATATGATAACAGGTTAATGAGTATGAGTATGTTTGCTTTATTTTTTAATCAGAACTAAAAGATTTTAATGCAAACGATAATTAACAAGATTAAGAAAATTGATTTGATTTTCAAATTTTTAATAATTCGAAGACTAATGAACTACCATAACTCTTCTTGACATTAATTATAAATACCAAAGAGACTAAAACTGATAAAATTATATAATAATTTTTATTATTGAAAAGTTCACTTAAATTGTCATTTAATCAACATAAATGATTGATGGGAGAAAGTCATAATAGAATTATACTACATATTAAATTCAATTAGTCTTCTGAATTTTATTTATAATTTAATCATAATCAATGTTATAATAAAATTTACTTGAAACTTTACCTTGTAGAAGTTATTTTGTTAGAATAAAATTCAGATTTATTACATTGTTTATTTCTTACAATAGTTTGTCTGATTTGATTCAAATGAAAAAAAAATCATAGTTTTATTTTACAATAATATCTCTTAGATGTTTATTGACAATATGAAATAAGTTGTATATGTTAAAATTAACTATCGGAGAAAACAAAAGAGAATATATTATATATAAAGCAAAAAAATCAAAAAGTAAAGATGTATTGCTCTATTGAAAAAGTGATTCAAGCTCATGATCAAGTTTGAGTATATCACTCATACGCGCTATATGTACACGATCAATATATTTATCAAGAAATTTATAATATGCATCAGCAGCTAATTGCTTCATTTGATATAGATGCCAAAGTAATTTCCCATCAATATTCATAAAAGCACGTTCCAAACTAAAGAAAGAAAAACAGAAGATTTTCTTCCTGGATAAAGTTATTCAATCAAATTACTATGTTAATCCAATATGCTCAAGCCATTGTTGTACTGCAGCTGTATCCCAATTTGCAATAATATGTCCAGGTTGAAGAGTTGGTTTTACTGGTTTATTTTGTTTTGGTTCTTTATGGAAGGAAAAATATAAATGCTTATATCATAGCATTTTTTTTAAATAATCTTAATAAATACAAACCAGTTATGGCGTTTATAGTATCAATAGTAGAACGTCCCGTACCATGTGGACGATGAGTTTTATCATTCTTTTTATCATTTTCATTATTAACTTCTTCTATGTCATCTTGTTTTATTGTTTCAATTTCACGAATCAAAACAGAGAATGCTTCTTCAAAACTATTTCAAACAATATTTTATATGAATTAAAATAAAAGAAACGGTCTTACGGTAATGTAGCAAAATCAACATGAATTTTAGCACCTTTAATTATTCCAAGCTAAAAAGACAATAGGTCACGAATTAGAAAAAAAAATTCGTATTTTTAAATAGTTACCCATCCATATGGGCGGAATCTTGGTTGCATAAGACATGGAATGCATGGTTTTCTTAATTCTGTTGCATATTCTTTTGAGATAAAAGACAAACATATATCTTTCAAAAAATATATTTCAGTTCATACCTGCTTCTGAAAGGAGAAGATATAAAGATTTATGAATTATTAGATTTCAAAATATAACTAACCAAGTCGACAATAATAACTTTGTTTGTATTGTTCATTCATACAAATAAGTATAATCGAGGATTTTTCAACAGCATCAGCCATAGATTCCAAAACTCCACCATTTATATTATCAACATCAAGCCATACACGATAGTGTAAAGCCTAATTTATGACAGATAGATTAATATGAAAATATGAAAATGAAATATAGTTTACTTTTAAACGATCTCGAAGTTTTAAACACATAGCTGTTACTGAGCGATTATATGAAATCATGATATGACCGTCTAATGCACATGCTTTACTTAATGTTGAAATTCCTATTGATAAACTTAATGAAATAAATTCAATAAAGTAATCATTTATTTACGTCGATGTGGAATTCGATTTAGTGTCCAAAGAATTGCTTCACAATTTTTTTGAACAAGTTGACTTGTAGAATTGTTACGTGCTGATGTTATAATTTCAATAGCATGGTCAGTATCTAGTAATGTTTGAACTTTTTCATCAAATGATGCATTTAATATTGCATTAGATACACTTTCAAGTAAGCAGTCTTCTTGATTTGTATTTTGAAGAATATTTAATAATATATTAACAAGATTTTGATCAATATATTTATGTGTTCGACCGCGAACCATTAATTTAGATAAACCATCAACTAATTCAATAAATGAAAAGCCATAGAATCTTTGATCATGGCCATTATACATTTGAATCATTCCAGATAATAATGGAAGAACATCTTTATTTAAATTAATAAAATTATATTATTAATATAGATATTAATCTATTTTACCTGATGTATTTTCCGCTAAAATATTATCTTCATCTTCATTCATTATTAATGGAAGTAATAAACATGATGTCACACGAATTGCACTAACAACATCTTGTAATTCTTTTATACTAGTTATGAAATCTTGATTTGCACTGGTTTCGGGAAATTGAATAAGAATTGTATCTGATGGTAATTTTGTATATTGGGCTACAATCTATAAGAATATTTCGAATTCAAAAAATAGTCAAACAACTTCAGATATTCAACAGGGTGTTCCGAAAGCCCGTCGTAATAAAAAGAAAAACGTGAATAGCTCTTGAATAGTTCAAATGATTGATATGAATTTTCTTCAGGTTCGTTCGATATTCCTTCTAGTTCTATTTAAGATAATTTTGACAAAATGTCTATGCCTATAAACATTAGAATTGAAACACATTTCTTGATGGTCGAAATAGACACAAAAACGATAAATAAAGATGGTATTGAAGAGATCTCTATATGATGATAGAGAAAAAAGTCCATGCACTTTATATTACTAAAGAAAGTGTATCGATAGTAAGTGTTCTGATTATTTGAAATGTTTTTTTTTAAATAGTATTCACAATTATGACAGATTCACGAGAGAATGTTTTCAACTAATCAATTGCTTTTGGACTCGGACTCTGTGCATAAGATGCTAGAATTTTAGCCTCTGGCATGATATATATCAACAAATTGAACGATGGAATTTCACCTTGAGATTTTGCTCATAAACAGATCTATATGTCAATAAAATGCTTTGAAATTTTCATTTCAAAAGAATTTTTTTTTCCTGAGATACTTAAGACCCAAAAATTACTAATACTGAATGAAATATCTGAGGATTTTCTGTTTTCAGAGTATTAAGATCTCGAAAAGAAAACATTCTTTTGTGCTGAAATTTTCAGAATGTTGTACTGACAGATAGACCTGCCTATGAGCAAAACCTCAGGACAAAATGTTGTTATTCACTTTGTTTGTATATACTATATCAGAGACTAAAATTAGAGTAAAATGTTTATAATTCTGTATATAAGACGTACTGACATTTACTTTTTAGATTTTTTCAATATCTCACTGAAGTTCACGTAATGCGCAGAGTCTGAATCCAAAAACGATTGATCAGTTGAAAACATTCTTTGAGCA